TTTAATAAGATCTGATTAAAACTAGAAATACACATGCACATGTGTCAGCACTATCTTTACTAACAACAATGCTCCTGCTACCTGTGTGTGAGAGTGTGTGTGTGTCTGTGTGTATCCTCCCCCCACCCTTTCTCTTTTTTTTAAAGGGGAAATTGACGGGGGTTTTCTGTGATGTTGCAATTCATCTCTTCCATGTGGAAGTTTCCTACCTCTGAGAATTATAAAAGGCGGCAGTCCTTGACAGCTCAATGAACACAACCTCTCTGACACCGCCTGAGGACAGAACAGCTCAGAGTCTCTGCTGCCAACACAGAAGAAGACATGGTGTCAATCAAAGCTTCAGTGACGGTGATCACACTGCTCACCGTTTGTCTGCTGGCCACAAATGCATCTCCAGGTATTATAGTTTCCTTCGTTTGTATGGTTTGATTTGAAATGCTTTTCCTATATGGTTTTATGTTTTGATATGAAGATGCATTTCTCTTAACTTGTTTTTTTCTATCCAGTTTCTCATGATCTGTTCTCCTTTTTTCACAGCGCATCATGGATGTTGTCGAAATTACATGAAAACCAAAATACCATTTCTTAAAATCAAGGGGTACTCTGTCCAGACAGTCACAGGGCTGTGTCCTATCAGTGCCATCATGTGAGTATCTCCTCCTTCACAACCAGACATCAAGACATACAAGATGTATGCCCCATAACATTTATGTTTATAAGTGTATAATCTTTTTTCTTTTCTTATACTGTAATCCATAGTTTCCACACAAAGAAGGGTAAAGCATGCACCGACCCTGCTTTGAACTGGGTGATGGACTATGTTGACCGTTTAAGGTAAGATTCATTTCAAACAATTGTGCAACATAACTCAGAACCTGTGATATTTTGCAGGCTGTGAAATGTATTTACACAAAAAGATGGAATACAATTATGACAGGATCAATTCTCATTGCAGGAATAAAGCAAAAATGGTTCACATGAAGTCCACAAAGCCTGGTATTTGAAGAGAGACGATGGAGCCGTGTTCCTGCCTGTTACCCTCATACTGTGAAACCAATGATGTTTCACAGTTCAGTTATTCAGTAACTGAACTGTGAAACACTGACAATGCAACACAAGAATCAGCTCAGTTGTAAGAGCAATTTAGAATATTATTTTCATGTTCTCAGTTTCTGTTTTATAATGAAATGTATTTGTACATAATGTTATAATATATAATCATTAAAGTTTTGTTAAAAAAAGGAATACATTGTGACAAGTCTCTTAATCAAAACACTACCGTGCATGGTCTATTGTTAAAACGTAACAATTAAATTGCTACACGTGAAAACCCCCCTGACAGCATATCTTTACACTTTACTTCCTTGTTTATGATCATGGTGAGAAATTCCAGCTCTGGAAGTTTTGTGTTCTGTGATCAAAACACGGAAAAAGTGCAGAAAATACTGTGACGTTAGAAGGAGGAAGTAATGAGAGCTGTGTGAAGCACATTGCAGAACAGGTATTGCCATGTCAACAGAAATGCTTACATCACCTACTGAAGTGGAGTGTTAATCATTTATAGGTCATGGTGTAATGATTTTCTGCTGGTACTAATACTATTGTAAGCATATTAGTGTGTCCTTTAACTTATTAACTTTTAACTCTTGGAGAATAATACAGATATTTGTATATATATATTGCTAAATAGGTAGTTTGAATGTAAGTAGTTCCAAAACATTGTTATAGACAGTGGTGTAAAGTAACTAAGTAGATTTACTCAAGTACTGTACTTAAGTACAAAGATACTTGTACTTCTACTCCACTACAGTACAGAGATATAAAGTGTACTTTTACTCCAATACATTTATTTAATACATTTAGTTGCTTCTCAGATTTGGATTAAACAACACTTAAATAAGACTTTAGTTACAGCTGGAGTAAATTCACAAGCTACCCTGCAGTATACAAAGTCAGTAAAAATAGCTGTACCTTTACCAACTTTGATAACACTTTAATGCATCAATAATTATGATCAAAACATATAATATATGATTCTGAAATGGGTCAATCTGCATAATGAAAACTTTTACTTTTGGTACTTTAAGTATATTTTGATGCTTATACTTTTGTACTTTTACTTGAGTAACTTTTGCAATGCAGGACTTTTACTTGTACTTCAAAACAACAGATCTAGGTGTAGTCATGGACTCTGACCTGAGTTTCAACAGTCACATTAAAACAGTTACTAAATCAGCCTACTATCACCTAAAGAACATTTATAGAATTAAAAGACTAATGTCACAGCAGGATTTGGAAAAACTTGTCCATGCTTTTATCTTCAGTAGACTGGACTACTGTAATGGTGTCTTTACAGGTCTCACTAAAAAATCTATTAGAAAGCTGCAGCTGATTCAGAACGCCGCTGCTCGAGTCCTCACTGACACTAAGAAAGTGGATAACATCACTCCTGTTCTGAAGTCCTTACACTGGCTTCCTGTGTGTCAAAGAATAGATTTCAAAATACTGCTGCTGGTTTATAAAGCATTGAATGGTTTAGGCCCAAAATACATGTATGACCTTCTACTAAATTATGAACCATCCAGAACTCTCAGGTCTTCAGGGACTGGTCAGCTTTCTGTCCCCAGAGTCAGAACTAAACATGGTAAAGCAGCGTTCAGTTATTATGCTCCAAATATCTGGAACAAACTCCCAGAAACCTGCAGGTCCACTGCAACTCTTACTTTTAAATCCAGGCTGAAGACTTTTATTTTTGCCGCTGCTTTTAATTGAACTATTCATATCTTAAACTGCACTGTAACTTTTACTCATGTATTGTAACAGAGTATTCCTACACTCTGGTACTTCTACTTTTACTCCAAGTCCAAGATCGGAGTACTTCTTCCACCTCTGGTTATTATAGAATACTTTGAACATAGAAAACCAAAGCCAGGGTTACAAAGTGTTAAAGTGATACAGAATAATTTAAAAAAGTACATTTTAAAGTAGAAAAACAATTGTAGATCTAGGATCAGTTAAAATCATAAAATTAAAAAAATAGGATAAACTGTAAAAATGAAGTATATCATGTCTACATTACAGAATGATCAGCTTGTGCACGTAGTCGTTTGAATAACTCTTTGACCACTAGATGGCGGTAGTATCACTTCAAAGAAGAAGAGCTGTGAAATGATGTTCAGCGGCACTTTTATTAGTTTTTGTTGTTTCAGTGCTATTTTTATTTGGAAAGTTTTATCATAAAGCATTCTAAAGATCAGGGCTACATCAAACAATGATGTTGACTTCAAGCTTCATCTTGAAACGTCTTCCTTCTCTTTCAACATCTTAACATTTGTAAAACCGAGACTCATTGTGGGTGGGTTTCATGTCTCTGACTTATGCTTTCCTGTATTTAAAACAGCAAAAAATAAGTACGTTAATTGATGTACTTCATGCCCAATCCTTGGCCATCGGCTGTTGGCAACACCAACAAAGCAGAACAAACGAGCGTTTTCTCCTGTCGCATGAATCCATCCCAAATGACAGTCTGGAGCAATGCTCACAGCCACTATTACATCACCTCCACTGTTCTGCACCACTGTACAGAGTGCTTTTCTATGAATAATACAGAGAGACTGTGGAGAGAGGGACCTGGACATGTATAACTAAATGACAGGGAGTATATACTTTTAGAAAAATGTGATAGAGTCTATGGAAAGACAGTGTTGGAAAGATATTCTGGAGTGGGCTGAATATGATTTATATGATGAATTCACACCGTAAATAATCACATCAGACACAATTGCATGGATATTGATTTAACTTTATTGGATTAATTTATAAATCAGACATGCTTCCTTCAACACATTCCTTGATATATCTCAACTGAGTTTATATTATATGAAATACAGATACAGTGCAGAGAGTTGTTGTGGAGGGGAAAAGAGAGATGGCAGCAGCATGACCGGTCACACTATCTGCAGGAAGACAAGGTTATAGACTTGTGTGTTTTCCCATGAGAGAGCAGTCTGCTTTAGTATGAAAAGAAAATAACATATTGCACTCTGGGATGAGCAGACAGGTCTTTTATCATGGCATTCATGCACACACACACACTGGCAGAAAAGCAGACAGTGTCTCATGAAGCTCAAACACAGATAATGAGACATCCTCAGAGAGGTGAGAACAATCTGCATTAGAACATTCCCATCTGAAGTAACCCCAGGAAGGATATTAGAATAAATCAACTTAAAACTAGATCATTATTTTCATGTGCTATAATCTTTTTTTGTTTGCCCTTGACTTTCCTCTCTTTGTCTCTCGCTCATTCTTGCTGGCAGAGTTAACACAGAGTTAACTGCTCGGTGTATAATTAGACAAACAAAAAAGAGAAGGATGAAACATCTAAAGGAGAAGAGACTCCAAATGATTACACATTCACTCCGCTTCCTTCCCCCTTGCTGCACACATAACCACCAATTAGAGGAGAGGAGAGGAGGATGAGGACAAGCAAGCCGCCAGAAGTCTATTTGTGTCTATCTCTCTTCTTCTTTTTGTTCTCCCCTGAACACTATCCAGCACCGGGGAGGGAGGAAGAGAGGATAAAATAGAAGTGAAAAACAAGAAGTATATAAATAAAGAAATCAGTGTTTCACATCCGGTCGGGTGATTGGCTGAGACGCGAGTCGGGCAGATCTGGGCCACAGTTGCACTCATTGTTCAGTGAGCTTTCTACACAGTCCAACCCAGCGACAGCAATGAATGTTGATTGTGACCTTTGGTCTTTGGGTACAGTGGAAACAGAGTGTCACTTTTGTCTACGCATGTGTGTGTGGCTTCGTGTCTAGATTTTACATGCGCCCACTTTGCCCTTTTGTTCATTTTCTTGCTCATTCCAGGCGTCGTCAGAGCAAGCCTCGGGGCACAGTCAACGGTCGATGGTTTTTATGTGATCCATATCAAAACTCACCGACAGCGTTGAATGTTCACCGAGGCAAGCAGGAAGGAGAGTGTGAGCCGAGGTGACAAGACGAGGCAGGATGTGGAGGAGGGAGGACAGAGGGACAGGAAAGGAGGCGAGGATGTCACTCACAGCCCAGAGGTCAGGACGCACAGCAAAGGGACATAATGAAACAGGACAGTGGCAGAATGAGTCCACTGTCCACAGGGCAAACATGCTTCTGCTTATGGTGTACATGATCGTGATGTGTGGTGAAGCTGGAACACAAACTGAGAGGATCTGCTTTATTGCATTACAACCGCCTCATTAATCAGAGGAACTTCATTCATCTCCACTTCAAACACGGCCGTAACAGCATCTGAAACACAGTTGAAGAGGAAGTTGTTAGCACTGATGTTGCACAATATTGTAGAGAAACTGTCCCTACTTATTTCCTTTTGTGGTATTCGGATATTTCCTTTTTGGGGTAAAATGGATATATGAAAGCAAAAATCTAATACCTCTTCCCCTTAGCGTATTGACATCTTTTAGATTGTTGCTTTTAAATTGTCTATTGTTTTTACTTGTACTTGTTTTATGGTGTGTGGGCTGTGCTGTGGAATTGTTTGTATGTTTTGATTGTTTATTTGACTGTACAGCACTTTGGTCTGGAGGTTTTAAAGTGCTTTATAAATAAAGCTGTATTGTATCATGATAAATAACACTAGAATTAGGTGAGAAACAGGTCAAATGCCTTGATAAATTACAATGTAAAAAATAAATACTCTACATATTTAAAAGTAATTCAATAGATGTTTTACTTTCGTATTTAAAGCCATTCTTTTGTTGCCCAGAACACTATTAGAGAAATATTGTGGAGCCTGCCACTGTTCTTGTGGACATCTAGTCCGGAGAACAATGCTGCGATGTCCCACTGTGCAGCCAAGCTTTTCAGACCCCAGCCATGCCAGACCACAGGCTGAGAGCTCCTATTGTCAGGAGCAGGGCAGAGCAGGGGAACAACCACCGACAGTGTGGCTGTGCTCCTGCGCAGACGGGGGGGGGGCTGACGTCAGGATGGTAAACGCTGATCTATGGTCATTCATCGCACCGCTCCATCGGCTTAGTGTGCTGATGTCATTCAGCGGGCTAGACCTGCATCTATTACTCTGCTGAGGATGGCAGACGTCAGGCTAGCATGATCACACACTGGCTACAATGAATGAGTAATGCATCACGTTATGGCAGCTATAATTCAGAAGGTCATAAAATAGACAGTTTGCTTTTTGTCTGGGTCTTTGAATTATTGCCTCTGCATTCTTTCACAGGCATGCTTTGATTTTATGAATATGTAAACATGTACAAATTCATTTGGATGCTCATGGCAAAATACATACAGTATCTAGTCACATAATGTCCTATTATGTATTATAACATTTACAACCACTTAAATGAATAACATGAAACACTATATACATACACATGTTTTTTGTCCTTGTTCTGCTTGCTTTTTTCTGGTGTGAACTGTGTGCATGTGAACTAGAAGTCTCTTTTCTCTCAGGGTGAAGCAGCTCAGATAAGAGACTAAATTCATAAGCCATATTACATCTTCCCTACTCTGTCACACACACACACACACACACACACACACACACACACACACACACACACACACACACACACACACACACACACACACACACACACACACACACACACACACACACACACACACACACACACACACACACACACACACACACACACACACACACACACACACACACACACACTTACGCCTCACCCCACAATAAGCCCTAAAACGAAAACTAGGCAGAGGGTCGAGGGAGAAGAGAAAAGGGGGCTTTGCCATGGCAACCCCAGTGTCAGCCAGCCATTTCTTCTTAATCCCCCCCCCAGTTCAATGTCGCGCCCTCTGAGAGACCCCCTCTCTACAGCTGAATATTTCTTTTGTGTTGAAAGACTCTGTAAATGTGTGTGTGTGTGTGTGTGTGTGTGTGTGTGTGTGTGTGTGTGTGTGTGTGTGTGTGTGTGTGTGAGGGATCATGGAGGGGGAGGATTGGGGTTAGCGGGGGGGAGATCATAGCTAACCCAGCTTAAATGGGGGGCCAAGCTGCAGGCCACAGAGTCTCAACATTACATCGGGCGTACCAACCAAAGATCAAATCACACACACACACACACACACACACACACACACACACACACACACACACACACACACACACACACACACACACACACACACACACACACACACACATTTAAACACTATATTGATGGAGGGAGATAATCTTCTGAAATGGCAGATAATTACATCGTATGGCAAACAGCCGGGCCCTTCCTCCTCGAGCCTAGCGCTGACAAACATCTTTTTTTTTTCGCAACGAAACTCTCGTGGTATCTGGCTCTTTCCTGAGCAGGCCACTTTACATTACAGACAAAAGCGGTTTTGGAGGAGTGGGTGGGGAGAGGCGTCAGCTGCTAGACAAAATTAAAAGGCCTCTATTTGTCCCCGACAATAAACGTCCCCATCTTTGGAGCTCCTCCACAGCTGCAGCCAGATAGGCTTTCATTTCTAACTGCACACTAATAGAGAGCAGTGTCTCCTTCCTCGACTATAAGCCGATTTAGTGTGCAGGATAAAAATTCAAGCAGCTTTATAGTCATCTCTCTGAGTTGCCTTTCCACCGAGGAAGAGGACAAAAGAATGTGACACATGGTGGATACTCGGTAATAGAGAAACTACGGATTTTGTGAAGCTGTTTTAATGATGTGCAGTATACCTGATGGAAATAATCTTCACGGAGTCACAGACGTCAAGAGGTGCATTGTGAACACCTATAGATAGAAGACAAAAGCAGATAACAAGACGAACAGTTAGAGGCAAAGCAATGGGCTGGAGACCGACTTCTATATTGCACAGACGGAGGGGAAAAGGCTTTTTCTGACTATCTATTATATAAATGCACAATTCATTTGGTTTTCACTAAAGGTTTCCTAATCAACAGGCAATTAATGTCCAGTGCATCCTCCGGAAATCCCAAAACGCTCTTCCCCCGGGGCTGAGCTATGGAAGCGAGGGGAGGAAGTGCCAGTGGTGTGTCTCTGGGTGGTCCGATGTGGCCGTGGGCGAGACTTTAATGTAGCTGCATGTCCACTCCAGTGTATACTGTACATTCAGCCATAATGACTAACAGACTGCCTGTAGGGGCCTAACACGCCCCTCCATGCCTACAGATGCATATGCTCCACTTTAATGGCAGCCTTCAGACTTTATTTGAAGTGTGCTGTGGTGTTTAGAAAAAAAACGGAACCCCGGATTTTTCAGAAGGGAGGAAAAACATGACTTTGACGACCTACAGTGCCCTCGGCCTAATATTTGGCCCTGGTGGGTTCATTATATTAAGTGGCCATTTAAACCATTCAAACTGTGGATAATTGCAGTGTCGCTGCTTTGTGGTGGTTCTGTTTCAAGGATATAAAAATCTGGGCATGCCAAACATCTGGCTGGGGTATTAAATGTGACATAGGCTGCGGACATAATTCTAAAAAAGTATAATGTCAGGAAAACTTGGCCAAAGAAACCAACTAAATTTGATGGTCTGTGCAGCTTCTAGCACTGTTATTTTCTTCTGTCGTGTAGCCGAAGTGTACATTGTACTTGGTTAACTGTGCATATCTGAGCTGACTTAACGAACATTATGAAACAGGGAAAATGCTCCATGTAAATCTAGTCTATTTGAGAGCAAAGGGCACATTGTAACACAAGGTGCAGAGTCTGTTCAACAAGTGCAAAGGCATGAACCAAAATCAAAGGCATGGAGTTAGTGCCTTGGGACTGATTGGCAGGGTGGGGTCGTTCTGTGACCCTTGACCTTTTTAACCCCTAGGAATGTTGTTGTGCCGGTGCGTGTATTGTTCCAGCCTCCCTGAGGAGCCCCAGCAGTGTATCAGATGAATGTGAACGCTGTGAGGGCTTCTCCTTTCCCCCCCCCCCCCCCTTAAAAACTCCCTTTTCTTCCCCTAATCCTTTTTTTTCTGCTCTTCATCCTCAGACTTCAACAAACAAAAGGTATCAACAGGTCTAGAGTGTGCTGTTGTTCTGAAGTGCACATGCATGGAGAGAGCCTACTTACGTGGGTGCCAGGCTTACCTAAAAGACCTACTAGGATTCAGTAAACATGAACCTTATCGCTCATCAAATAAGCCACTGTTTTTATTGGTCCACTCTCCATATCTGAGAGATCTGAGTATCTTCAGGCAGTCTGAGAGTCTGGCTCTGGAGGAAGTCACCAGCAGTCGAGGGAAACTGACAGATGAGAGGGCCAGACAGACAATTACTGGCCAGGTATGTCCTTTATATCCACCTAGGGCTGGTCAGAGGAAATGGAGGAATTTATGATGTCATAAAAAAGTGCCAGAAGAGAAGTGCCTGAGAACAGGTTGTTTCTGGAGCAGGAGCCATAAAAGACTCCTGCGGCTTCCGCTCCCCCCCGACTACCACCCGAGATGATAACACGAGACTGAGCGCCCGAGATATATGTGTGTAGTTCAACCTCCCTATATATCGAGTGGCATAATATTTTGTTAACAGCTATGAAGCAAATGTGTCATTATATATTAGATTCTAGAGATGGAGAGCAAAATAAATACACAACCTAAGTTCTGTGCATGTAAAGATTTTTTTTAGGTACTAGCACCATGTCAATATTTTCCTTTTGTGGTTCTTTATACTTGTCCTCGTCAACAATGCAGTAGAAAAGAAATCTAAAAACATACATGCAAACGTATGAATGCTAAAAAGTGATGCTGAATTTATATACATTTGTTGTATAATTTAATGACTTGAATACTCTTATAATTAATAGTTGTATCCCCAAAAGGAAACCCGCTGAAAAACGTTTCTAAAAAAATACATTTAAAGCTGTTTTTATGTTTATCTCCCTCAATCTCTAACCCCTGTTGTACAGTTGAAACCACAACAAAAACAAACCTTTACACAGGAAACATCTTCAACAAGACGACACCATCTGCCACCTCACGCTAAGCAGGTGTAAGGAAGAGAAAGCCTTAAACGTTCTATTTAGACATGAAGGACACCCGTTCCTTTTTGCAAGCACGCACACAAATTCACATCTATACGTACACACACACTACACTTCTCTTCCTACTACAAAAAGATAGAGAAACACTCGCAGTCGTAGTGCTTGTTAAAATAAAAAAAGGAAGAGAGAAGGCGGTTATTTGCTCTACAACCTCACTGAGGAGGTTTCCCATTGTAAAAAGGAATGGCTGCCCTGTTTCCTTTCATCCCTCTCTGAGGCACGCTGCCTTTGTCTCATAGAGGACAGAACAACCAGCCTCCCGGCCACGCTACACCGGTCAAATACCAGGGAACTACCGCTGAGGAGGAGGAGGAGGAGGAAGAGAGACAGAAAGAGAGGAGGGGGAGATAAGGTGTGAGTGTTAATCTGAGGCAAGGCTGACCAGTCTAGAAAAAAGGTGCGTGTGAAATAAAACCTGTCATTAAATCTCAGTGGAGCTACGAACACCTGGCAGCAAACTGCACTTCAAAAAGATGTCAGACTTGTTGACACCGAAGAAAAAATGCTATGTATCACTTTAGAAGCTCAAATTATGACCACCTGTTTTTACTTTTCTTTCCTCCTTATTAAAAGGTAGCAACTGTATGTGAGCAGTTAAAGACTCAGAGGTTAGAAAGGCAGGTCTACAGTTTTTTTCTTTCCCCCCTTCCAATTCTGCACTTTCATGCCAGCTCAGCAGAATGAAGGAAGTTCCTGTATATGGGGCACTGTATAGGGGTAAAGTGAGCTTAAGTCCTCCCCAAAACCAGCCGCAGCCGGCCGAATGTAAAGCTTTACGTTCTAGTCCTCACGGACTGCCTCAGCACCCAGACCTCACTGTCACACCTCATAAAGCAGAGCTCAAGCAGTGGGGTTGTGTTTAAAGCCAAGGGGAAAGATAAGGCGAAATAAGGACAAATAAGAAGGAAAATAAGAACGCCCCTATTCAGGAAACTGTATGTAGCAAACAGAGTGAAAAGCCCTTGACAAAAGCTCTTTAGCTGAAACTCTGATGGCATGTCTCCAGTATGCTGAAAAAGAAAATATACTTTCGGGACAAATTGCAGGAAACATAAGGAAGTGAAAAAGCCATTGAGGGATTTTTAACACCATAATCCTCTCTTCTTATTTCTAGTTTTAGCTTAGCTGTCGAGAGGGAAGCGAGGGCCCGCAAGTTTATTTTCAAATAGTCCACAAAGAATGCCTGTCATTTCCTGGCGTTCCCCACTTCCATATGAAAGCCCCCGTTCCTTAAGGAACAATGGGAAAGATTCCAAAATGTCCATGGGGACTTTTAGGCATGGCGATACAATAGAGAGCATGTTGTGACAGAATTGAGACAGGCTGTTTCTCTCACCTGTGACAAGATCGGAACTAATGCAATGTTTTTGTCTTTCAGCGAGCATACTCCATGATTAAAGCAGCCACACAAAAGCTTCAACATCCCATAAATGAGCTGAGAGTGGAGTCTAATGGAGGCCCTGAATCTGTCTTTGACAACTCACTAGAATATCCTTTATTCATCATACCTAGGGAACATTTTAGAGTGAGTTTCTAGATAAAAGCATCAAAATGTTTAGACAAGTTTCTGACTTTATTAAGCATATAGTGCTAAAAATACATTATATCAGAGAATAGAGGGAGTAAATGTAACAGGTTCCCCTCATCCCTAATCATGGTTTTCTTATACATCAATTGACATGTGACTCCAATTACAACCACACACAGTCACACCAAAGCTGTAAGAGTGTATCAGTTAAGTTAAAGAACACGTTTGGTCTTTTAGTTGAAAGAGTTCAAATGTCATGTGCTCCTGAACAGGCCAATAGGATCTTAAAGTCACCTGGCTCGACCCGACCTGAGCCTTTGGCTAGACAAGAGGTCAGAGGTCGTCCACTCAACTAGATAGGCAGTATGTCGATATGCCTGAGGCAGGGGCCAGGGGTCTCCACTAACCTAACCTTTCCATTTACCCAACACTGTAGCTGAACTGAAGAAAAGCACAAACGCACACATGTGCAAACACGGGATCCTGCTGCTATGAACTCATTCGCCCCTTAACCTCATTTACCTGTGATGCATGAACACAAAGCGTATGTGGTAAACAGCTGCGATTAGATCTTCTGCTTTGGATCCATAGATAAGTCTGAGGTGGAAAAAAAAGGACACAGGCATTACTTAAGTCTTCTGAAAAGAAGTTGACATCTGTAGTTGACATCTGTGCTTTTTATGTCTTCCAGATGACTCAGGGATAATGGATTAAAAAGTGTACATATTGCATTAATGACTTAAAAAGAGGGGAAGCAAGTTTGAAAGAGTTTTTCTTCCTCACACTTTTGCATTTTATGTTCGATCACAGCCGGGAAGATCTGGGGGTCATGTGATGCTATCAAAATGTCCTTTTCACAGACTAAAAAAAAACAATAAGAGTTTTATTTTTTTATTTTACAGTTCTATGAGAAGACGATGATGACGGATGAACTGTGATCTGTGGTTGAGAGCCTCATCCACCGTGATAGCAGGTTACTTCTGACATAATTGCAGGTTGCAGCTGATGATCACATGTGATAATGAATTACACAAGAATGATGATCATAGTTCCAGCAGGGGATTAGAGAAGCCAACATCTAACCACCTCCCTGCCCGCATAACAGCAGCAGGAAGACACTGGCTTGGCTCCATTCACCCAGCCTGATAACTCTCTGAGAGCAACTCTAACTGAATGAAGCCAAAGAGATAAGCACTTTGCTGCTCCACGATTTAAAAATCAGGAAGATGCTGCTTTTTCTCTTCACAAGGGACAAAGTTAATTATATGTAAGTCAGCCTCGAGAAGAATAAAAGGTCAGTTAATCTATTGTAGATTTCTCTATTAAAATAACACATAATTTTCCCACTGTATATGTACAAGAAATGTAAGTGCAAACAGTTAAAAGTCAGCATTTGGTAAGTGCTTGTTTTTCTATAAAAAGCCATGCATTTTTCATTAAGAGCACGCTGTGTACAATCCATAGCCAGTTAAATGCAGTGCTGCACTAAGCGTCTAGAATCTACTTCTTCCCAATGGCAGAAAGAATTTATGGAGACTGCCTCATTAACCTTAAGGCATATTAGTGCTTGGCACTGCATGCTGAGAGCTAAGCAAGACTGATTGTCTCAGCTGCTTTAGAATAATCAGAAGGGTCAGAGCACAGTGGCACAGTGGACCCAAAACGGAGTATAAAATGCTCGTGATGAAGTGTGTTTATTTGGTCAGTGCATCCTCTCAGTGTGCCCACCCTGAAAATGGCAGTCTGGCTTTTTTGCCATGTGCTGGAGGCCCAAATCCGGGAGGAAGTCAGATGCGCACAGACTGTTTCCGAGAATTTGGGATGCGCACAGCCACGCTTACAGTCTGAACAATTTAAATGACTGTCTGCATTTAAAAAAAATGCAAACATTTGAAAAAACGCGCATGCATTATGTTGAGAATCACTAAACACTATATATTTTAATTGCATCAGTTATTTCTTTCTATTTTGCCTATTCATTACCGGGCTGAGTTACGCACCCGTCCACAGAGGGATACCATCATGAGTCACGGCTTGGCGAGAGACGGGTGGCGGCTGAGAATGATCGCTGTCTGCTTTCTGCTCTTCAAGTGTCTCACGCAGATTATTTGGGGTAGGAGGGCTGCTGTAATGTCGATACAATGACAGATGGTCCACACAAAGCCGGTGCGCATTGTTCAGCTGGAATATAATAGCCCCGATTTATCAGTGTTCGCCGACTTTCAGGCCCCATACACTGTGTGGTGAGTGAAATGAATCAAAGTTGTATTGTTTGGGAGGCTCCCAGTAGGATTCCTTTGGACTGCACCGGCTGTTTAAACATAATCTTAAAACTTTCAAAGCAGCGGAAGCAGCATTTATCTGTACACTGTGTAGTAGGCTACCATCGACGCGTCTCGCAAAGCGTTATAAAAGTTGTAAAGTGCAGAAAAAACTGCCGAAATCTCGTTTTGTCCCTCTAGTCACACGGAGGCTCTTATGAAATGAACCGGAGACACGCTTTTCTATTCGCTGCTAGTTTCACATGCGCTCGTGTTGGAGACGTAAAGCCCCCTCATTAGAACTGAGCGCCAACCCAGACCCCGGCACACATTATCACAGTTTCACAATCATCCCATGTGCATATTCAGCAGAATATCCACACTTTCTTTAGATAGGCTACATTGATGAATTATAGACGCTTAATTTCTAAATTCTAAATACAGAATCGGTTTGCATAGTTTTAACTGGATTAAACAGAAAATGCTTACTGTTTTTAGGTTATCCTACATTTTACATGATGGCATACTTACGCAATTTCCCTTCCTCGGCTGCAGGTAAAACTGCAGGATTCAGAGTCCAGTCGAGGTGGACTGATGCGTTTTCTTCAAGTCTGCCACAGTGGGTATTTTCACTCTCATCACTTCCGTCCGAGTCCAACTCTCCACCGACTGAGCGCCTGCCTCTCGGATCCACAGATTACGTCTGTTTGAGAGGCAGGAGGGAGGGCATCCGGTTTACAGGGATCACCAGGAGGACCGGGATTGGCTCAGAGGAGATAGCTTGATAAAATGCGTGCCTGCCATTGGACGGCAGGGCAGGAGGGGAGGGGGCATTCGTGTATTATTCAGGAGAAACCGGGTGGGGAGTGAAAGAGGAGGATACTCAAAGCGGAATATGCAGACAATGCCTTGTGTCTCAGAATTTCACATTTCATTGGTGGATTTATTCACCACAGTTTATGGTTTCCAATAATCTCATCAAATGGACTAACAGGCTAATTGGGGCATTTATGATAACCCAATAGTGTTTGTACTAGCTGTTAGTATATTTATGACCTCAGAGTTCTGAACAGGCACTAGGATCACTGTAATAACCACAAATATACTTAATATAGGAAAATTATGGAATATTAATAAAATCATATTTGTGAAAGATCAGAAGTGGATTTCTCTTTTAAGTTTTTCTTTCTAAGTCTGTTCTATTTTTAAATAAAATTAAACATGCTGGACTCAGACGATGGGAGTGAAAATGTATAAATTAATCAAACAACCCTTTTTTGCATCAAACATCAAACCTAAAGAAAGCGCATGTGTGTTTGTGTCTGCACATGGGACATTTTGTGTGTGTGTCCATGCATGTGAGTGTGTCTGTGTGAGAGTGTGTTTGTGTGTGTTTCTGCTGTATGTAGGCTACGAGACAGCTGGAACTGCAGAATTTTCCACACAGGAGTAGGGGAGGGAATGGTGCATGGATAATTCTCTCTTCAGATCCTCTGGTACTCGCTCCGAGAGTACTCAGCTGAATCAATACTGCTCAAAGCTTTCTCGTGTTCCCTCTCACATCAGTGCTACTGTTAGGAGTCCGGGGCAGACCATTTTAGGTGTTTTCTAGAGATGATTATTTAAATTATAAAAGCCACCACTTCTTCTTGGATAATTGCAATGCTAAATCACCCTTGACCTACAGGCCTCCCGCATCACACACATTCACATCCAAAACTGTGAGTTGTTAACCTGCATACTGAGCCGGTGTGTGAGCAGACAGAGAAATCCTAATAGCCACAGCAGGGGCTCTTCTCTCTCCGGTAGTCATGGTGATTGAACACATTTCTCCACACATCAAGAGAGGCGGTCTGTCTGTGCTGCACCACACAGGCCTTTATTAGGCCCAGACCCTTGGACTGGAAGGAAGGAAGCACCAAGTGGAGGATCACACCCATTTCATTGTGACTCTACAATTTTATGACAGTCAGGAGGCCGTCCACCACAAATTAGTTATTTTTCGGGGAGACTCTCTGCTCTTGTCTCGGTTAAACCGATAAAATGGCACGCTCAAATCTCAACAAAGCGGCACATCATCTGATTATTGTGCGGATTTGAAGGCTAATTTGCATAACTGGTGGGAATGATGCTCTCAGAAGTATAGCACCTAGATTTATTCAGTATTCAGTCTAATTTCTAACATCCATACGAGAGCAACAGCCTTGGCTTGATTTCCTTTAAGCTTCTAATCTCTTTTTCCTCTTAATTTAGCTGCAGCTTCAATCACAGCTCTTTCACAAATCTAACCGCGTGGGAGTTTATGTGTGTGACTGCTATCATGTGAAAACCTTATAATTCCATAGTCGGTGAAATTCATATCTTCATTTTAATTCAAGGGTCATGCGGTTGTCAATGGGTTTTAAGATTTTGGCACCACTTACTGATAAGGCAACCCTAGCAACAATTCCATTAATTTTTGACTTTTAATTCAGTTATAAGCCGTTAATAAGGACATACTTGGCTGGCTGGAGTTTATTTTTCAATGGACCCGCCTCTGAAACACTTCAAAGGATCCATTTCACTGTGTGTGCTGTGTGCTCTGCGTGTGTGACCATTACATTGGGTTTCATCCCTCTATAATTATTAACCACAAATGAACATTGATAACCTGTGACTTCAAGCCTCACTAGAAAGTGGAACAAGTCACCACCCACTACCTTTTAAATGCTAAATAACACATAATGTCTAAATTATAGAAGCCACAAGCATTTGTGCATGCTTTCATATTCTCTATAAACAGATTCTGCATATGAAACTTGCACAGGCGATGGTTGTATGCAGGGAAATAGTTAGTGTGAGGAGCAAAAGGGGCAGAATACATAGGCCGACTGTTATCAATGAGCATCGCACGGATAAAGGAAGTCTTGGCCTGGATATCCGCTGGCTCCACCACAACCTGAAAAACATTGCCCCTTGCACCCAGAGGCTTATTGTCATTTTAGGATGAGTTCCAGGATTAATGGATTACTAACATTTGTGATGCATGTATTACCTAAAAAACAAAAACAAACAAGTCAAGGGAAATGTTCACAACCTGGCAATACAGAAGTTGTTCTCGATTAAAACTAATATAAAGCTTTAAATGGTCATTGGTAAATGGACTGTATTTATAAAGCGCTTTAACCAGTCTTTACGACCCCTCAAAGCACTTTCACATTCTATAAGTCATCATTCACACCTCATTCAAACACTGTTGGCCATGGAGATATATAGGCAAGGTCTCGAACCCACAACCTTCTGGTCAAAAGACGGCCACACTACCCCACAGTCACAGTCGCCCAAATCAAGACTATGTTACTGTTGGATGAATTAATAAAACATTATTGTTCCTAAAATAAAAACATTGCATTCATTGTATTCCATCCTAGCTTAACTCAAAACACTACACCATAGTAGCTTATTGTGGCTAATATTGTCTACTATAATGTTAGCAAACTAGATCTTGTTGTGTTTGATAATGTTGAGTCAGATCGCTTGTCAATATGACTCCTTTCACAAGTGTTTACCCAACGTTTAAGCATCTCGCCAATAAACATTTAAATATGTGTTTTCATCCATTTGAAAGCTCTTTACGTTTACATTCATATGTGTGTGATCCAGACTCTAGTCAGCCCTGGACTTAACACAAATGGAAAGTGTCCGATGTGCTACTGTTGATTACCATGACAACGTATTAAGCTGAGGCTTAAAACCATGGCTGTCCCATACTGTGCCTAGTAAGAGTGACATCTCCAACTGCTCCAGTAATGAGCTGTCTAACATGCTGTCATCCTCCACAGATGGAGCACATACTGTACAGTAGGACACATTTAAGATAATTAGTCAGGCAGACATTTGAAAGGAATATTTTCACATTTTAGGAAATATGTTTATTACCTTTATTTTTTAGAGTTAGACAAGGAGATTGAGAATATTGTCGAATAGGTGAGTGGTAACACTTTTCTCATCTAAAGGCCTTTGCCTTTGCACAGTCTTCAAAGAGTTCAGAACAGTCATTGTATAGTGTGTTATCCATCCTCTGGGTCTGAAAGACTGAGGCTAATGTAGAAATGCTTAAATCTGAAATCTCTGATATATCCAGTATTGAGCTAGTTGCTAGAAGAAGTCTGATTGTATAGAAGTCTATGAGAAAAAAGGATCCTACTTATCACATGATTTGGTACTTCACTACACATTCTCCCAATTAGTTTATGGTCTTATTAGCTTGTTTCAAGTGTGCTCAAATTCAAAATGATGTTCATTTTGTAAATGATGGTCCCGTAAACAGATTTTAAAGCGACATTATGCTCTATGGCGAGTTAACCTTTTTAAGGACAAGTCAATGCTGTATTGTGCACTCACATAATACATTTCATTTGTCACAACTAATAGAAGAATAACATTTATCGGACTCTGTGTTCAAGGTTTCAGTGCATAATGAGATTTTCATATAGAGTATGCAGAAATCTCAGCAAAAAAGTAAATGAAGGTATTTTCCAAAATGTCAAACTATTCCTTTAATATTTAGCAGTCAAACCTTTATCTGCAAGCTAGAGTTACAAGCACATGGCCACCATTAAAGGCCCAGTGCTTTGTAATTTGGAAATCCAGATATCAATTGTTTTTCTGAAAACAGAACACTGGGGTGTATTATCAATACCAATCACAAACAAATCGTTTTTTGTTAGTTTTTGTTTGCCCTCAAACGTAAGTAGCTATAAAATCAGGGTAATCATTAGACACACACAGGTTTTGTTTACTTGATGGGTCAGAACATCTTCATATAGCTGTTATCTGGTAACTGTTCTCATGCAGCTAATTGCCACCACAGTGTGAGCACCTTATCTCACATCATCAACAGTATGGCACAATCCCCGGCAACCCCGGACCACCTCCACTAACCCCGCGTACAACTCTGCCATCATGGATGCCTCCTGTCGGGTTTCATTCTTGCTCGATGCCAGGAGCAAATTCTGCGTCTCAATTAATCACTGAGTTTCTAATGGAATGCTTCCCTTCAGGATGAGGCCCATCACAGAGGGGGCTGCCGTCAGTGCTGTCGGTGAAGCTGCTCTGATTGCCTTAATACACTCCCAGCTTTGGAGTCACTGCAGATGTCTGCTAATTGTGGTGATTATGGTGAACGGAGGGGGGTAGGAATATGTAATGAATTTCCCATTGCTTTCATGCCTCACATCCTTTGGTTATGTGCATCTGCTACACAAGCGGAGCATCCGCAGGGTTTGGAGACGGACAAAAGTGAAATGGGGGATTGGGCATGGGCTTTTGGACGGGCAGCTATTCTAGCGGCAAGTGCAGCCAGATTGGGACCATTTATTCTTTTACTTCTGTTCATTGCTGCTACAATGCTGGTTTTAATTCCTCTGCACTTCTGCTCTATGCTCTTGTTCTGTCACCTCTTTTCTCCTCTTCTATACAAATCTATGAGTGGGTGGACGACTCTAACAACCTTAAGCACCGTTCCCAAGGGCCAAAATGAGATCCAGTTTACACTTATCAAGTCAAATTGAGCCTATTTAGTCTAAATAGCCCAGAATAGCAGATGTGTATAGGGATGCTGAAAACCATTGAATTACAGGGGGAAACGCTAGCCTAACTCTGTCCTGAGGTAACAAAAACGTTTTTCCCATTGCCTTAAAACATCTTTTTTTTTGTTCAATCTTCTCTAAAACATCGGATTAAATATAACAATCTGTGTGTTTTTTGGGGGGTTTAGAATGTTCTGCTTTTGGTTACCCCCGGTTACAGTCTTTATGATAAACTATGATGACCAGCTGCTGGCTATAGCGTTACATTTAATACAGAGAGTACATTTTCTTATCTTACTCTCAGCAAGAGAGCAAATAAACGTGTATCCAAAAATGTGAAATAACTACAGTACCTTAAGGATTTAAATTTAAATTATGAATATGAAATATTAAATAAATACTGCGCATAATGCCTTTAATCA